AATATAATAGGAATGTAGTTAAATTGGTGAAAAGGACACCCTGTTTTTATTAAATTAATAAGTGTTGTCTTATACCCAAGGCAACGATTTCAAACCAAAGATCCTCGCTTATCCTTATAAACATTTAAAAATACTAAAAAGATATAAAATATTTTATTTCACTATCTTGTATTGACAAATTTAATAAAATTTGAATCAATATTGTTACTAGTATAAGAATACTCAACTGTTTGTCAATGTATGACCACTAGATAACAACTTATCAATCAAGATTTCTGAATATAATAGGAATATGTTTTCATCAACTCTAAGCTCATATCAGCGAACACAAAGACAAACAAACTAAAAAATTTTAAAAAGGGAGTCGTATTGTTTAAAATGGATAAATATCATTTTTCTGCTCGTGATCTCAATTTCACTCTAAACATTATTGGTATTTTGAAAATATGTAAAATAATAAAAAGAGCTAAGATATTAAGTTTCACTATCCAATCTTGAATAATTTAATAGAATTTGAGGCAACAAATTGACGAATTTAATAGAATTGGAGGCATTGAACAACGAATTTAATAAAATTTGAGTCAACTTTGTTACTAGTATATAGATACTTATGTGCCATTGTAACAACTTATCAATAATAACTTAAGATCGAGCATGGTTTCTAAATGTAATTGAAATGTAATTATAGGCTCATACGAGCGGACATGAAGACAAATAGTCCTGAAATCGGTGAAAAGTGTACCTTGTGATTTAAAATGGGTAAGGGTCGTTTTTGTGCACAGGTCGTGAAATTGGTGAAATCGGCACCATGTCATTTAAAATGGGTAAGTATCGTTTTGTTCACAAGGTTACGATTTTTCTCCAAACATTCTCAATTATCTTTGAAAGCACTTGTGCAATAAAAAAGAGCAAACATATCGCGTTTCACCATCTTCTCCTGTTTTAAAAGATAACCAACAATGTTTTTAGTGAAATTCGGACTCCATGCATAAAAATGGCACAAAATTCTTACTTAGGTGCATTTGATTGTGAGTATGGCATTTACATGGAAAGAAAAAAAAATTCTAGGCAATTGAATTACCTATATTTTATGGAAATTATTAATTAAATGCATATGATTGACATAGTTTTCATCCTAAAAACTATTATACTTGTCCATTTTTTATTGTTGAATAGATGATGGAGAGAAAGAGAGTGAATTACTAGAAAAATAGAAATCACCACTTCCTAAAGAAAGTGCTCTCCCTTTTATTTTATTTATTATTATTATTTTTTTTTTTTTAGAAAATATGGTTACATGACCAAAAGTTAGAAAATATTTTCCATCGAAAAATTGTCAATCAAACACCCCAAAAATAGGAATTTTTGGTGGAAAAATGATGTTTTTCATGAAAGTAAAGTTAATCAAATACACTTAGATTTCTATGCAGTCACACATTAGTATCCCTATACTAGCAAACAAAATTCAACACGAGTTTCTTTTTTTTTTTTTCTTTTTTTTTTTAATGCTCTTGAAGATAAAAGAGGATGTTTGGAGTGAAATCGATAACGTGTTCACAAAAATAAAACTTACCCTTTTAAGTGACACATGGCATTTTCACCAATTTCAGGTCATTTCTCTTTAGAAATTTGCTATTTGTATACTGATTTTTGACATTTTGGTTGACACTTGCATTATTGTCAAGTATCAATTGAATGAAAAAATTGTTTGAAATTTAAACTGTCTAATAGAATAATGACATGTGACAAAGTGTAAGCTAAAGTGTACATGTAACAAGGTTCTTGTCTTTATGTCCACTCATATGACCCTAGAATTGATAAAATTACATTCATACTCCATTTGGACACGGCATTGATCTAAACTTGTTACTTATATTTTATGAAGTGAAACGAGTATCACTAAACTAGCAATGAAGTTAACGTCGTCAATACAAGATATTGAAACCAATATCTCATCTCTGTTTCGATTTTCAATATTTTCAAAAGTAACTGAGGATGTTTGGAGTGAAATTGAAACTATGTGCATAAATATAAACTTATCATTTTTAAACGACAATGTGCCATATTCACCATTTTCAAGGCCTTTATGCCTGCCATATGACTCTAGAATTCATTAAATGACATTCCCACTCCATTAGGACACCGTGCTAGATCCAAAGTTGTTACTTAGAGGCCTATGTTGTGACATGCAAGTCAGTATTCAAATCTATAATCTATCTATAATGTATTAAAGTATCACATCAAGGGAGAATCAATTTTTGGACTATTTTAATCCCTCTACAATTCAATTATTTCAATAATACTTTACTTTTCGTCTTTCGATATGTAATAAATACTACATAATTATTATCGTTTATGAAATTTGTGTTATTAATTCTCAATTAATTAACATTCACATTAATCTAGATTCAATGAATTTTCATTTCATGAATCTTGAATTATAGGAATCTAGAGTTATTATAGATGAATTTATTCATATTCATGTATCTAAAAAATTTAATGGCTGTTTAAATTTATGTATTAACAATTAATTTTTAAGTATCAAATGTAATATAAAAAGATTGCTCATTTATATTATTTCATCATTACAAAAAATTTGAATCATAGAAATTGAGTTTTGAGAGTATAATTTAAGTACAATTTTCTTCTCTTAAATTTCTATTCTAAATTTTATTTGCTACATCAAATCCTCTAACAAATTGGTACAAAATATTACTTTTACATCACTCACAAAGTATTTTAGAATAACGTGTAATGCATGTTCAACTTTAACTAACTCTATTAAAGTTGTCATGACGAGACATTGAAACAAAACTACATATCTTTATTTATTTATTTTTTAAAACTATTTCAAAGATAAACGAGGAACTTTTGAGTGAAATTGAAATTCTGTCCAAAAAAATTACACTTACCCTTTTAATTAGGGTACATTTTAACAAATTTAAGTGGTGTTAAGTGTTTTTAAAGGACAATTATTAGGTCAAATTTGTAATTGACAATGTCTAAATTAGTTATTTACAGTTTTCTTATTGAAAATCATGAGTTAAGTTGTAATTAAAGTCAAAATAGCATAGGATTCATATTATAGTCCTTTGGGAAGTCAAGTAGATCAAACATGGACCAAAAAGAAAAGTCGACACGTTAGTCGCTCGCTTCATTCACACCTCGTGCTCAAGTGCTTACACCAAGACCATTGGCACTTAACCTTTGTGAACTCAATCTTCGAGCGGCGGAGTCACCGTTCGATGCACACGAGGGATTCGATCGAATGATAGATTGAATTCTAGGAGGCCTAGTTTGCGTAAAACAATGTTGAATAATCATTTCATTTTAGACCAAGGTCCAAGCCTTGCTCCCACACATTGAGTTCTTTTCAAATTCCATGGCCTCTTGTCATCTTTTTTAGTCAATACTTGACTTTGCTTCTGCGTAATTAGTAGGTTCATCATCATCGACTAATAATACTTGATTATTAATTATAAATTCATACTTTCTAGGAAGTCAAATGACCCTACTTGATATATGCTGAGCTGAAGTGTCCTTAGGAATCTCTATATCCTGACCAAGAGTCTATCCCTCAGCAAGTGTAGGATCAGACTCAGGTTTATCTAATTGGTCAACAGTATCTGTGGATTTATGAATTTTTTCAAGTTTTATCTTGCTCCCACTACCCTCTCCTAGAATAAACTCTTTCTCTAGGAATATAACATGTTTTGTGATGAACACCTTCTTCTCAATGAGATTATAGAACTGATGTCCATTTTTCTCTTTTGGATATTCCACAAATATGCATTTATCGGATCTAACCTCAAGCTTATTCTATTCATTACACTTCACATAAGTATCACTGCCCCAAACTTTCATATGAGATAAGTTAGGTTTTTTTCCTCTCCATAACTCATATGGAGTTTTGTCGACCGATTTAGATGGGACACGATTTAGTATGTAGCACGCAGCAATTCGTGCATGACCCCAAAATGATTTTGGGATGTTTACATGGCTCATCATTGATCGTACCATATCTAATGATGTGTGATTCTTCCGTTCAAATATACCATTATATTGTGGTGTATATGGCGAAGTCCACTGCGAGAGAATCTCATTCTCTTTTAGATAATCTAAAAATTCTCCAACTCGATCTGATCTCAGCGTGAGAATATTTTTACATGTATATTTCTCTACTTCAAGTTTGAATTCCTCAAACTTTTCAAGTATTTCATGCTTAAATTTCATTGGATATACATAACTGTATCTAGAATGAATATCAGTAAATGTGATGAAGTAAGAGAACTCACCTATAGCGATGATTGTCATGGGTCCACATAAATCAGTATGTATTAGTCCCAACAGCTTCGAAGCTCTTTTTCCTTTTCCAGTAAAAGGAAATTTGGTCATCTTGACTAATAGGCACGACTCGCATTTGTCAAATGATTCAAATTTAGTTGACCCCAAGTATCCATCTTTATGTAACGTGGAAGTGCGTTTTCTCGTTGATATGACCAGTCGGCAATGCCAGAGAGTATTATTCGGATCATCACTTTTTTATGCTTTTTATTTTCTTTACTCATAATAGATAACTTAGTATCAAGAATGTAAATCCCATTTTGCAACACACCACAACCATAAATGATCTCATCTTTATATAATGAACAACAATTGTTCTTAATATTAATTGAAATACCATTCATGTCCAAACATGGAATAGAAAGAATATTTTCAATAATG